TCTATACTGTGGGAACAATAATTACTATACGTTCTTTCAGAATTGTTGTAAGAATTAAATGAGTTAGTAGGGAAAAGAGCCCTGTACCATACAAACTAGCTCGTATGAGTTTCCTCAGTTCTTGACAGGACTTCAATACTTAGTCTGATTCCTTAGCATTTGCATTTTTAATTACAAAGTCTAGTGTTTGAATAGTCATCTACTTTTATCACATAGTTATTCAGTGGTTAATTTAGAAATAATCTGAAATACTAGTTCCCAATTACAATTTGTTTCTAACTTTTAGAAAATAGTATAATCATTTTTGGGCTTCCCCGGTGGCTCAGTAAAGAATCTGTCTGCAATGCCAGAAACCTGGGTTCCATCCCTGGGTCAGGAAGATCCCCTGGAGAAGGGGATGGCAATGCACTCCAGTATTCTTGCCTGGAAAATTCCATGGACAGAGGAGCCTGGCGGGCTATAGTCCATGGGGTTGCAAAGAGTCCAACATGACTGAGCAATTTTCACTCACTCATAATCGTTTTAGGAGGTATATTAATATTTTGTTTAATGATAAATGCACATCAAATATAAACAAGTGGTCTGATTTCTACTTGACATCTGAAATTTCCTTGGTTTTAAGGGATCATCAAGTGATAAGTGATTATGTTGTAACACGGTGTCTGCCTCCATGAACAGCGTCTCACTGTATCTCACTGTGTGCGACGTTCACTGAACCCATGCTAGGCAAGGCACAAGCAGAGAAGCTGGAAGAAAACTCAGCGTCGTAGGAACTGCAGACACAGTTATTTTCCCCTGACTGGCACCGCAGCACTAGCAGCAGCTATGCTGTATTCTCTCCTCTTGTGGTGGACCCAGCCGTCACAGCTGGAACACAGCCTCACCGCCATAACGCAGCCAAAACGTACCTGCAAGGGCTTTTTCAGGTGCAGCTTATACATGCTTACAGACCAAAGGTAGCCAGCGTCCAAGTGAGTATCTTGGGACGTGCATGTGCAGTGCTGTAAGTGAGCTCAACTGTTATATAATCATTATTTACAAAACATGGGGCAAGAGTGAAAGGACATGGTGAGAGCCTGACCACCACCATCTTGGCTAATTTCCTCTTTCCCTACAAACAGAAAGTGATATCAGAATCAACCAGAAAGATCTCACTTGGAAAACAGTGAAAAGACAGCATTTTGCACATTAGTATTAGAAACAAATATTATAAAACACTAATTATGCATTTCAACACAAATACAAAAAGGATTTAAAAAAACAACATACTCAGAATGCTTTGAAGTCTTCAGAAGGCCTTCAGGAATGAGACAGTTGAACTAGAGGAAGATACAGATGAACTACAATCTGGAATGTGTACACAGACAGCTCTTGATTTTACTTTCTCTAACCTTGAGCTCATATTTTTATTCATGCTTTTTTTTAATTAGAATTTCCTCAGATTATCAGAATTACTACTATATAAAGCAGTTCATATTTTATGTATGCACCATCACCTAGTTTATTTATTTTTCATAAACATAAGTCCTGCCATCTAAGATATTGTAAACAAATAGCTGTTATTAGCATGTAGAAAATATAAACATGACAATTTTGCATGAATTCATCTTCTCAGTGACAGTATATCAGCTTAAGCAAGTCATTGTTGGTGGGCTCATCGTTCTGTTCAGACTCTGCAGGTCATGAAGGAACCGGTAGTGTCATCTCTCTTTGCTACAGAGTCAACACATTCAGATGACTTTTGACTCGCCATTGCAGCTTTCCTTAAACACTTAGAAGTTCCACCTGAAGTCCATCCCTTTGCTGCTGTTTCTCAGGTTGTACAAATTAAAAATCAAATCAGTGCATCACTCCTCTCCTTTCTATCTGTAGTGCTTTTTCTTTCCCACCCTCTGTCTGTTCCTTCCTTTTCCCCTCTCTCCTTACCTGTACTAGCTTATTCCAAGGAACAGTACATGGGCAAAGAGCCCTTTCTTCCTGGATCAGGTAGAACAGACCATTCTACTCATTCAACCAGTCAGCCAACCCCTTTCCTTCCCTGAATGCATCTTTTGTTTCATCTTCAAGGGACTCTGCTGATTTGCTAAATGACCTTTTCCTCATAATTTAAAGAACTTCTGTTTTTAAAAGTTCTTCTCAAGTCCTTCTGTCACCTAATTTACAATTTGTCCTGTCCCACCTCGTTTGTGCATGTTCTTCTTCTCTTAATTTGAATCCTTATTTTGAAAGATGTCTTTCTATCCTGAAATAACTATTTGGCTCTACCAATTAACTACACAAGCAAAATTTTTTGAACACTTGACATTTTAGTACCTCAGCACAAATTTTTTTTTTTTTAGCTTCTCAAAAAATGTTTATTTACTCTCTTAAAATAGTGTCAAGGTATCTTGTGGACTATTAACTCAAAGTTTTCTGAATGTTTTGTATTTGACTTCCTCCTTGCATGTGTTCTTAACTTATCTATTCCAGCATGGCTAGAGCACAGTAATCAAGTGGGAAATACAGTTTGAAAGTCAGGTTGGAGACGTCCAGGGCTGCCTTAATGGTATCCTGCTTGTGCCATGAATAACAGCACAGGCCAGGGGAGAGAAGGGAGCCGAAACCAGGCCTGGGCTCTGCTCACCTTGTCCTGTGCCCTGCCCAAGGCTGTATTTATCTAAGGAAGGTGTGCTTGGCTGATTCTTGCAAAGGTGTCATAGGGGCTGGTGGTGGTCTAGTAGAAGATAATGTATGGGAGTTTGGATTTTATAATGCAGTGAGAAGCCATCAAGAGGGAATAAAAGAATTCAATGTACAGTTTGTGAAGAACACTCTGCTGTGTATCAGGGGTTGCAGAGAGGCAAGAGTAGAAGCAAGGAGGCCAGTCATGAGGTGGTGGTGACCACAACTAGGGTGGTGATAGTAAGAAGTGCAGAGAAAGCAATAGATTCCATGTATCTTTTGGAGGCAAAATGAGCAGGGCTTGATGGTGGATTAGGTGTGGAGGGTAAAGGAGAGACAAGTGTGAAAGGCAATTGCTCCAGGTACTGACTTGAATAACTCCATGGGTGGTGGTGCACGTCCTGAGATAGGGAGCATTGAGGAAGGAATAGGTGGGAGGGGACTGTATCAAGATCTCTGGTACAGTTTATTTGAGCACCTATGATGTATCTATATGGCTACCAGGAGGCAAGAACAAAAGTAGCTGAAATTCAGAAGAACATCTGCTTTTTTCTCTAGGTGCCCTGAGGCTTTCCTTGCTTTTCACAATCTGATAACAACCTATCTGAACAATTCTGTCACATGCCGAAATGATTATCGGTATTCTTTCCTCCAAACAATCTAGGAAAGAGCCAAAACAACTCCCGTGCAGTGAGTATAAGCATAAGTGCTTTGCCTTGAGGCAAATGACCAGGGCACTAAGCCCCACTGACCCCATACTGAGGCTGGTCTTCTATCTGCTTTTTATGTCATTTAAAGGGCTCCCTGCAAAGTTCCTTAGCAAACTCTCTGTTTCCCAGCTTTAGTGTTCCCTTGAGAAATTCAAGCTGACCTCTCTCCTTCTCTTACTGACTTGAGAATCACAGTCACAGTAAGTCAAGTTTGACAGTTTTTCTCCCAAGTTATCTCTGCATTTACTTGGTCTTAGAATTTATAATCTAAATAATTTATAATGGCACAATGTAAATCTAGAGCCAGCCTGTCACTGGGATCACTTCTCTAATCCGCTAGATAAACTCCCAGGCGTGAATGGCTCCAGTACTCATGGATTTGTTCTCTCTTGCTCAAGCAGGCAGAGCCAAAACCAATGACTAAAAACCACAGGGAGAGAGATGTTGGCTCAACTAAAGGAAAAGCTTCCTAATGCTTAGCGCTGTCTGAAAATGGAAGTGCCTGCTGGGGAAGGAGTGAGTTATGGTTTCTGGTGGTGTCAAGGCATAGAGCAGATAATCATTTGGTGCAGATTCCATGGTAGAGATTGAAGTCAGGGTGTAGAAGTAATCTCCACTGACTATTGAATTCCTGCTCCTGCAAGAGCTTTACACAGATGTTTCGTCTCATTTAATCCTCATAACAACCCCCAAGGGAATCAGTTATAACCCCACCAAGAGAGGTTACAGTCACAATTTAAGATCACACAGCTAGAGTGGCAGAGCCAGGATTTAGAGCCAGGATTTAAACTCGGAGTCCAAAGCCTTTGTTTATCCTTCCACAATTCATGGAAGCTTGAGAAAATGAACTAGGGGATTTTTAAGGTCCCTTCCAGCACTGTGGTTCTGAGTCAAAATCTGGATACAGGCATCACTGACTATGTTTTCTTCCAGTCACCCTTCTGGCCTCAATCTCATTAAAATGATAATCTATGACTCCAAAACTGTCTGTGGTCTCCTCAAGAAAGGCCCATTTTTTAAAAATCAGCATGTATACCTTGTATCCACTCTGAGTTTTCAACAGAACTTAGTGTGAGAGCCTCAAAATCTTTTCTTCTTTTTTTTTCCTTATAGGGTTGCTGGCAAAGGACAGAGTTCACACTATAAATGTACAGAAGACTAAGCTTTTAGTATTTCTGAAAACTTATAATATATTGTCCTAACTTCTCTACTCATTTTACAGGTCTTAAAAGTCTTAGAAGATCTGGAGATATTTGACCCAAGGTCAACTTCTCTGGTCCAAGTTCTGAGTCAGATTTTTTTTAACATTAGAATTTAAAAATTCATGTTAGAATTAGAATTTTTAAATGATTAGACCCTAAGAGTTCTCATCACAAGGAAAAGTTCTATTTCTTTAATTTTATCTCTATATGAGATGATGGATTTTCTGTAAACTTTTGTGATAATAACTTCAGGATATATGTAAGTGAAATCTTTATAGTGTATACCTTAAACTTATATAGTACTGTATATCAATTATATCAACAAAACTGGGAGAAAAAATGAGTCTGAAAATAGGCTTAATTTACTTATGATAATAGGGCATTAAATTTACTTATGATAATATGTGTGTTAAATGCTGTTTTCTAGATTGAAGCTGAACTCGCCAAGGAAAGAGCCCAACATTTGGTTGAATTTCAAGAGCAAGCTCTTCTCTTTAAGGAAGAAGCTAAACTGGAACTTGATATTGAAAAGGAAAAACACCAAGAAATAATCCAAAAGTATAAGAAAGAACAAGAAGAACTACAAATGAAGGTGTGTCATTATGGTTTTCATCATCATTTAATGGATTTGAAATTGTAGATGCTGGTTATTTCCTCCTAAGGACAACACTATATTTCTAACTCCTATGGATTTCCTCATGGCCATCACAGCTTATTTTTAGATAGAATGATTTGGCTATTCTCCATAATGAATGACTGAAATAAATTATATAAGAATATAATCCAGCTAGGTATGGAATTTTTCCTACTAAATAAATGTATTTTTAAAACAGCATAAATTATGTAACTAATAATTAACATGGTTAGATATTCTAATACCTCAAATGTCCAGCAAAAGATAATGATGTGTTTTACATAATTAAAATTTTACCAACAACTAAAGTCTATCCCCTTTAGTTGCAAATATGTTCAATTCTAGTTTTGAATGAAGGGGAAATATTTTTTAAATATCAGACTTCCATAATTTCTTAAACAATGTACACTAAACAGAATATAAGGTTTTGACAAGGTTCCCTTGTTTTCATAAGACATGAAAGTAGAGTGTGTGTCTTTTGTGTGAGTATATTAACCAAGGCCTAGTGGTAAAGTTATATTTTGAATAAACTCATTAAGAGCTTATGTAGATTAGCACTGAATGAGACTTACGGCCTCCACTTCGTTGTACAGGGGATATGGTACAGTTTTTTCAGTAGCTCACTATGAATAGGCAGGGCCAGCCACGTGAATGTGGTGTCACAGGTCCCCATACAAACCTTGCAGGTTTAATGCCCTGCAAATGCTGTCTTGAAATTCTTAATAATAATTTAATCTCTGAATTTGTGTTTATAAGTGCAGTCCTGTTTGGGACAATGGGACAATGGAGCATGCCCTGGGAGCTTGTAGCCTCGGCTCACCTAAGGCCCCCTCCTCGTCTTCTGGACAGTCCTGTCCTAGACATGCCCTTACTTCCCGGCTCCTGCCCCCACTCCCCTTTTCCCCTCACCCCGTGACTGCTGTTACTCTCCCAGGCGGCCCAGGACCATCAGCAGGGGAATGCTGAAAGGCAGGCCCCAACTTGCCAGGGCTACAGTCTTTCAAGAGAAGTCCTAAGTCCAGATTTTGTGAGTGAATTCTCTTGATTTTTTTTTTCTTTTACTGCTGACTCCCTTATTACAAAATCAAAGCCTGTTTATGGCTCTGTGAGCCTCCTCTTCCCAAGATAACATGCTCTGTTCAGTGGCAGCTCTCCTCTGGATGAAGAAAACTACTGCTCAGACCCAGAAGTGACCCTCTTCTTCCCTGGGTTAATTGAAGAAAATGTAATATTAATTTATAAAAACTGTGGTGAATAGGTTTCTTGTAAAAGTTATTATTAATGTAAATTTAACATTTGAAATAAATTTTGGGTACATAACTCTTAAGTAATGGTTCACAAAATCCTTGGAACTTTAGTCTGTAAATGCTTTCCAGATTCTTCATGGGCTGATTTCTTGTTGTACTAATATTTATAATATGACAATATCCGTAGCATAAATAATGATATGTTTTGTCAGAAGCAGCTTTGCTCTTCCTGGTCTGTTTTGTGTTATTTGTTTTGCTTTTTTTAAGGAGAAAAATAAGCAGTCTTTTCCTTTCTAAAGATGCTGTGACACTGAGAAGTTTCTCAAGTTGTTCTTTCCTCTTTGTCTGGAGGTACCACCTTCAGAAGCAGTGTATTTTCAAAGTATTCTGGTATCCTCTAGAATTGCATTGTCTAATATAGTAACTTATGTGTCTACTTAAGTTTCAATTAATTAAAATTAAATAAAATTGAAAATTGAGTTCCTCACTCATGTTCACCACATTTCAAGGGTGCAACAGGCCATACTAGCAAGTGAGAGCCTACTGTTAACATTTCTTTTCAGTTCAGTGATCAGTGATTTCACCTTCGTAGCTTGGAATTGGTCATTGTGAGAGTGTTTACACCATGGAAAATGAATACAAATTTGACTTCTGTGTGTGTGTGTGTGTGTGTGTGTGTGAATCCATTGTTAAATATTTACCAGTGCAGTTGTGTCTGACTCTTTGCAGCCCCCATGGACTTTATAGTCCATGGAATTCTCCAGGCCAAAATACTGAAGTGGGTAGCCTTTCCCTTCTCCAGGGGATCTTCTCAACCCAGGGACTGAACCCAAGTCTCCCGCATTGCAGGTGGATTCTTTACCAGCTGAGCCACAAGTGACGCTCAAGAGTACTGCAGTGGGTAGCCTATCCCTATCAGCGGATCTTCCTGACCCAGGAATCAAACCAGGGTCTCCTGCATTGCAGGCTGATTCTTTGCCAACTGAATTATCAGGGAAGTATTTACCAGCACACCACTATCAACAGTCACATACGGGTAGTGGCTACCACATAAGACAGTGCAGAATATTTCTTCTTCTTGTTCAGTCACTAAGTTGTGTCTGACTCTTTGCAACCCCATGGACTGCAGCACACCAGGCTTCCCAGTCCTTCATTGTTTCCTGGAGTCTATTCAAATTCATGTCCATTGAGTCGGTGACTCTGTCTAATCATCTCATTCTCTGCCGCCCCCTTCTCCTTTTGCCTTCAGTCTTTCCCAGCATCCGGGTCTTTTCCAATGAGTCAGCTCTTCTCATCAAGTAGCCAAAGTATTGGAGTTTCAGCTTCAACATCAGTCCACCAATGAATATTCAGGGTTGATTTCCTTTAGGATTGACTGGTTTCATCTCCTTGCTGTCCAAGGGGCTCTCAAGAGTCTTCTCTAACACCACAATTCGAAAGCATAGGTTCTTCAGTGCTTAGCCTTCTTTATGGTACAGCTCTCACATCTATACATGACTACTGGAAAAACCATAGCTTTGACTACATGGACCTTTGTCAGCAAAGTGATGTCTCTGCTTTTTAATATGCTGCCTAGGTTTGTCATAGCTTTTCTTCCAAGGAGCAAGCATCTTTTAATTTCATGGCTGCAGTCACCATCTGCAGTGATTTTTGGAGCCCAAGAAAATAAACTCTGTCATTGTTTCCATTTTTACCCCAGCTATTTACTGTGAAGTGATGGGACCAGATGCCATGATCTTATTGTTTTTTTAATATTGAGTTTCAAGCCAGCTTTTCCCTCTCCTCTTTCACCTTCATCAAGAAACACTTCAGTTCCTCTTCACTTTCTGCCACTGGAGTGGTATCATCTGCATATCTGGGGTTGTTGATATTTCTCCAGCAGTCTTGATTCCAGCTTGTATTTCATCTGGCCACCTTTTACATGATGTACTCTGTATATAAGTTAAATAAGCAGGGTGATGATATATAACCTTGAGGTACTCCTTTCCCTATTTTGAACCAGTCCATTGTTCCATATCTGGTTCTACATGTTGTTTATTGACTCCACATACAGGTTTCTCAGGAGGCAGGTAAGGTGGTCTGGTATTCCTATCTCTTTTAAGAATTTTCCACAGTTTGTTGTGACCCACATAGTCAAAGGCTTTAGCATAGTTAATGAAGCAGAAGTAGATACTTTTCTGGGGTTTCCTTTCTTTTTCTATGATCCAACAAATGTTGGCAATTTGATCTCTACTTCCTCTGCCTTTTCTAAATCCAGCTTGTACATCTGGAAGTTCTCAGTTCACATACTGCTGACAGCTACCTTGAAGGATTTTGAACATAACCTTACTAGCATGTGAAACGAGGGTGCAATTGTATTGTGGTTTGAACATTCTTTGGCATTGCCCTTCTTTGAGACTGGAATGAAAACTGACATTTTCCAGTCCTATGGCCACTGCTGAGTTTTCCAAATTTGCTCATGTATTCTGTCACTGAAGAAAGTTCTACTGGGCAGGGATACTATAGAAGGTGTGGTATCTAGGGTATCCTAGATCATATACAAGATCATATACAAGGATGAAGAAAAAATACATCAAAGGAAACCTTACTAGTATGATTTGAGTAGACTGTAGCACCGAAGAATTGATGCTTTTGAACTGTGGTGTTGGAGAAAACTCTTGAGAGCCCCTTGGACTGCAAGAAGATCCAACCAGTCTATCCTAAAGGAAATCAGTCCTGAATATTCATTGGAAGGATTGATTCTGAAGCTGAACCTCCAATACTTTGGCCACCTTATGTGAAGAACTAACTCGTTTGAAAAGACCCTGATGCTGGGAAAGATTGAAGGTGGGAGGAGAAGGGGATGACAGAGGTTGAGATGGTTGGATGGCATCACCAACACAATGGACATGGGTTTGGGTGGACTCCAGGATTTGGTGATGGACAGGGAGGCCTGGCGTGCTGCGGTTCATGGGGTCGCAAAGAGTCAGACACAACTGAGCGACTGAACTGACTGACTGTAGCTATGATGCTCTCCTACACGCGTCCCCAAACATCAGGTATTTCTAGGTCCCAAAGTCACCCTAAAATGAGTCCAGATAGGCACTTGATCAAGACTTGAGTTGTCCTTGGTAGTTCAGTTCAGTTACAAAGATTTAGGTATTTCAAAGTATGTTCAAGTGATTAATACAATTCCATTTTGGGTAATAAAAATAAAATCTTAGTCTTAACTCTTAAAATCGTGAAGGCCTATATATGTCTTAAGATTTGTTTTCATCAGATCAGACGAAAACACCAATTATTTAGAATAAACCTCTTAAAACCAAGAGAATTCTGTGGCTACCTAGAGACTATTACCTACAAACTAATGCAAGGCTTATCTTACAGATATCTGACTTAATCGAAGGTGCTACTAAAGATCTAAGACTGAAACTTGCTGCTCTTGAAGAAAAACTCCATGAATCCCATGTTCAATATACTGAAGAATCTGCGTTAAAGGAGAAAGAAATTGAAAACCTTAAAAATTTGGTTGTAGAATTTGAATCACGTTTGAAGAAGGAAATTGACGGTAATGGTTCAGTTTCAGAGGACCTGAGGAAGGAAATGAAAAAGAAGTCAGATGAACTAGAAAGAGTAATGCTGGCACAAACACAACTGATGGAGCAATTCAACCAGTCCCAGAAAGAGGTAGGAAGCAGGTGATGGTACCAATGCAGTTGGTGAAAGAGTGCTGGTCTTTCAACAAATAAACAAACAAAGACATGAAATGTATCTTGGTGTCATGCAGAAAGTTCTGGACTATTAGTCAGAGACCTGGGGTCATATCCTGGCTCTGTCCTTAACTAGGCAGGCATTTAACCTCTCTGGACCTGGCTTCCTTTTCTGTAAAATAAATAATACATTTATCTATGTAATCTCTAAGTTTCCTTGGCAAGTTCTACTGTGTTGCAAATGACCATTTAAAACCTCTAAGATTAGAAATCTTTATATATTTATGTCTTATTTGTTGAAACATTACATTTTTGCCAAAGAAACCTTTAGACTACTTGCTGTTTAATATTTTAGACTGTATATTTTAAATACAGGTGTTCTTTAGGGTTTTATTGTTCTGTCATTCTAAAGTTGTAAGATAATCTACATGTATTGGTCTTCTTTCCTGTGTATGCATGATTATTTCAGCAGTATTTTATTTAAACTGGAGTAGACAAGTTCATGTCCATGGCATCAGCAAACTTTGGGAGATGGTGAGGGGCAGGGAGGCCTGGCATGCTGCAGTCCATGGAGTTGCAAAGAGTCAGACACAACTGGGCGACTGAACAACATACTTATCCCTGGTGGCTTAGTGGTAAAGAATCCACCTGCAATGCAGGAGACACAGGTCCAGTCCCTAGGTCAGGAAGATCCCCTAAAGAAGGAAATGGGCAGAGGAGCCTGACAGGATACAGTCCATGGGGTTGCAAAGAGTTGGACACAATTTAGCGACTAAACAACAACAGAGTTATTTTGATTTGAATTTTCTTTTCCTAACAAAATCTTATTTCTGAACTGCTGACCATTTTAGAAATGGTGGATGCTACGGACTGAATGTCTTCCCAAATTCATATGTTAAATATAATCACTAGTATGATGTATGGAGATGGGTCTGTCAGAGGTGATTATGTCTTGAGAGATGAGCTAATCTCCTGAATAGAATTAGTGCACTTATGAAAGAAAGCTTCCTCGCCCCTTTCACCACATGAGGACATAGTAAGAAGATGGCCATTTTGAATCAGGGTCCTTACCAGACACCAAGTCTGCTGGCATTTTCATCTTGAACTTCACAGTCTCCAAAACTTTGAGAAATAATATTTGTTGTTTGAACTGTGCAGCCTCTGGTATTTTGTTTTAGTAACCCAAATTTATTAAAACAGTGGGGCAATTTTCCAATAGCCAAGAATTAGAATATTGTCATATTAGAATATTTGATCCTATTTATGACAGTATAGCAGATAAAGGCAAATGGAGGAAGATTCTGAATCTTAGTGATAAATTTTTTTGTTTTATTGGTGTCTTAAAGATGAATAAAAGGAAAGTGCCAGTAGTAATATTGATTATTAACAAATATACCATGTTTTCTTGCTATTTGTAAATTGTCAACCAAAATTCAAAGTGTATACCATCATTATAATTATGACCTATTGCAAAGAAATTTTAAGTTAAAATGTGGAATGAATGGAATATTGGATCAAGAATAATACCTAAAAACCCTATTAAAGTAGAAATTACTTCCATGTTACAGGTGAGAAACTGACTCAAGATGTTTGAATAATTTCTAAGATGACCCAGCATGGTGGAGCCAAGATTCAAATTTGAATTTCTAAGATTTGGATCACTAAATTTCATCTCCATGAATCTCTATATTTCCTCTTTTAGGATACCTGGATTTTAGTGATTCTGCTTCTAAATTTCAAAGTGACCTAAGGCTTAGCACTCAAATCTCCAGGACACTCACACACACACACACTCTCTCTCTCTCTCTCTCTCTTACTGTTAGAATAATAATAAACACACTAATGCTTACTCCACCAGATGGCTAGGGTGTTGTGTGATTGAATGTCTCCTGTTGGAACACAGCACCACAACCTCCCTTGGAACGGGCTGCTCCTGCAGTCCAGGCAGGAGTGGGAAGAGCCCGCACACACGTGGACTCAGCTCCGCTGGAGCAGGAGAGCGGTGATGCTTCCACCAGGACAGCAGCGTTGAAGTTCTAGGGGGGACAGCAGGCTGAAGGAGAGAAGGTCCAAAGCAACTAGGCCAGCAGGTTTTCTAACTCAACTCTCCCAAAGAAATGGCAATGTGGAAAGTGATGAGCTATTTATAAACTAGGACATTTATTTATTCTAGGAATTTATAAACTAGAGCAAGACTATAAAGGGTCAAATACAGGAAATATATAATAGGCCAGTGCCTGTATTCAAGTGCCAGGCACTGTGCTAGTCATCAATATGCAATTATGAACATGACTGACAACTGCCATTCCCTGCTTTCAAAGAGGAATTTAGAGAAAATATTATGTTGAGCAGTTAAAATGACATCCAGAGGCAAGAATGATCTAAAAAGAAACTTCCCATGTAAAAAACACAGACTAAAAGTTAACAATCTGGCCATAGGACTTGCATTAGTTATGTATTGTTATATAACAAACTGTCATCAAAATCAGTGGCTTCAAACAGCGAAGAACACTTATTTCTGAGTGTCAGAGATCTGAATGTGCAGCTTAGCTGGATGCCTCTTGCTCAGTACCTCTCATGAGGTTGGTGTTAGGGTGTCAGCTGCTACAGTCTCATTAAAAGGCTCAACTGGGGGCGGGTTGACTTCCAAGCTCATTTATGTAGTTGTCAACAGGATTTACTTCCTCATGGTTGTTGGGCTGAAAGCCTCAGTTCAATGTTGGCTGAAGAAGGGGAAGAGAAGACCCCCTCACTTCCTTCCAACATGAACTTTTCCATAGAAGAGCCTGGCAACATGGTAGCTAGTCTCTCTCAAAACAAGCAAGTAAGAAAGAGAGAGTGCAAGAGACGGTGCCCAAGATAGAAGCCACAGTCTCTCTAACTTAATCTCAGAAGTGGCATCTCACTGCTTTTGCTGCATTCTATTCTTTAGAGATGAAACAACAATTCCAGGCCACACTCAACTCAAAGGGGTTGCAGAAGGCTGTGAATAGCAAGAGGGCGGGGATAAGTGGGGGCCAGTTTATAGGTTGCCAACTCAGGGCCTCTGAAGGTAACTTTGGCAAGAGAAGCTAGACTACAAGTGAAGAATGAATATCTTTTTCACACAAAAGCAGCTACATTTGGAATTCTTCCTGCTTGTTGGTTGTAACAGGAAGCCACTCAGAGATGAAATTTTTTTACATGCAGACTTTGGAAAGATACAACATAATGAGTTGGTATATAAATGATCATAGATCATTACTGGGAAATAGAAAGGGATTGTAGCAAAAGTAAAGTTATCTTGGGACATGGCTGAGGGCAGACTTCCCATTAGAAGTTAGACAATTACAACTGAACTGTAAGAGTAAATAATTAAGACTGCTTCTCTGTTTAAGAATGCTGAAGTCCAGAACATTCTTATTAAATTGGAAATTTAATTAATACAAGTGATAGGAATTATGAGCCAGAATGAACTGAGGTTGTTAGCATGTAAAGTAAAAAGCACTACTTTTTGTGACCATGCATTCCAGACACTTGAAATTTCTCAGGTTCTGGAGGAAAAAAAACATCATTTAAGTGGAGAACAAATTCCCATTAGAAAGAAGATAAATTAATGGTCTAATAAGAAAGCTAATTAAGGAGAGGAAAACCGCACTCTCATTCAGGAGGCCAGAAAATAGGTAGGACTTTGTTTTTAATTGTGTAAAGAAAGTTCTCAAGGATATGAGGAAAGCCATAGCCTCCAAAGGACAAAATGGATATTCCTCCATGGAGCAGGGGTGAGTGGAGTGCTGCCACAGAAACGAGGGTCAAGAAGGTGAGGCAACAAAAGGTTCAGGTCAATAAGAAGAGAAAAAACAGGAAGTAAAANATACCTCTGGCTTAGGAATAAACTTAACAAATGAATTGAAAGACATACACTAAAAACTATAAGACACTGATTAATTGATTAAAGAAAGTTGTAAAAAATAAAATACCTCTGGGTACCAACAACTATTAGCACCTCTTGGCACTAACTAACTTTTAATTAAAAGTTATATGCATGTCCAATGAAACCTATACCAGTAAACAAGCCCTTACCCGGTAGACACACAGAGTTTCCAGTGACATTTTGAAGACTCATTTTTTAAACACAAAAAGCAAAGAATAACCAATCATTTGAGGAACACTTCTAATATGAAAGACAGAATCAGGATCAAACAAATAAGCAAAAAAAGAACAAAAGTGTCAAAAAAATATATAATTCATATCCTTAGAGACAAAAGAGAAGATATTAAATCCATGAAACATGAACAGAGGGCTATAAAAGAGAACAGGAATGAGTATTAAAGTATAAGAATTGAAATAAAAAATTTAATATTTGGCTTAAATGATAAAGATGAAGAAATAACACAGAAAGTAGAAGAAAAAGGTCAAAAGATGGAGAGAAGAAAAGAATATTAGAGGATCAAGCCAGGATATCTAATACTTCATTAATAGGAGTTCCAAAAAGAGAGAACAGAGAAAATGGAAGGGAGAAAACTATCCAGGAATTAATCCAATAAATATTCTAAGTACTAAAGGGGATTTCTATATTGAACAAGTCCACTCAGCATGATGGATGGCAAAGCAAACACACCAAAGCACTTCATCATGAAATGTCACTACCTTAAGGATAAACATAAGGAATTAAAAACATTAAGGAAAATTATTTCCAATCTAGGATTCTATATCCTGCCAAATGATCAATTAAATGCAGGTGTCAGAGATATTTTCAGACATTAGGGTTCTCAAAACTGGTACTTCCCTTGCAGCCTTTCTCAGGAAGCTCCACAATGAGGGCATAAACTAAGAAAGGAGGAGACACAGGAATCAGGAAATGAGCATTCCAACACAGGAGAGAGGCAGTGGGAATCCCCAGGACTAGGACGATGGTGGGAAGAAATCCAAGGATGACAGCAGTGCAACAGACTTAGAGAATAGCCAGGCTGAGTTCAGCAAAAGAATGGCAGATTT